TAATGGTAAAGTGCATTCTTGGGCAGACAAAGAAAAATAAAGCACTCTAGATATGTCTCTCTCCCTCTCATAAATCAAACGTGATGAATTGTGTTCTGGTTGTTCTGATATTGGAAACAAATTCAGAATAGCACTGCTTGCACTGGCAGTTCACTGCAGCTTCAAGCTGAGCAGAATGTGTTTTGATAAAGGTCCCATATCAGTGCCTTTAATGACTTTGGACATATTTTCTATCAGGTTGTTGAAGCTCTAGAAGATGGGTCACATTTCTGGTTTCTTCTGAAGCAAAATCCTAGACACATCTGAATGCTTTTTTTTAGTAGAAATGAACCCCACACTGGAATAAGGTTCATGTTAACACATGCATTTTAGGTGTTTGTCTACATCTGAGAGCAGAACTGTCACCAGGGATTTGGTGTTTTGGTTTAATTCTATCTTCAGAAACTGAAGAGTTCTGAAACAAGGTATATTTCACAGTAGTGAGTGTGTGAAATGAGTAGTGAAATCAAATCCAAGTTTTGCTGAAACAAGATTTTAGACAGAGTCCCACTTTTCTGCTAGTTAATGATGAAATAACAACAGATAAATTTTGCACCGTATTTCATTATATGATAAAATCAATAGTTAGTCATTTCACCTCTAAGCTGGGCATCTCCATCTACCATCAAGAACAGAAGACCTGTGCAAAGCACGACCTGCTTCTTATGCTAAATGCTCAACTTTTTAGCTACACAAATAGGTCACACCTCAGTCAGCAGCACGGTAGCAGCTTTTTCTTACCCCCTGCTTCCTGTCAGTCATAAGATTAAGAAAACCACCAGCAACTGCACAGCCCTGTGCAGAGTTTAGTTGCGTGCAGAGCAGGGCTGAGGATGCTGGATTAGTTCATGGAGGGCTGATAATAAATGAGGCAAGACAGACTGACTCCAAGCTGAATAGGTTATTGCTGTGACCCGTGTCTTTAATCTGCAAGAATAGGAGTTTGCTGGCTTTAGTTACACTTTCAGTAGATGAATTACACACTTGGTGGCAGTTCTCATCTTCTTGTGCCCAAATGGGTGTAATAGCAAAGGTCCAGAGAAGGAAAAAAGTGCCATCGTAGACAAACCTTATATATCTTCAGTGCTGAAAAGCTTTTGTTTTGTAGTCACAGAATTGCAGAATCAGCTAGGTTGGAAAAGACCTCAACTGGTGCCCATGCCTTTATGCTTACCTTTGCATGGCAGAGGAATGTTTTTTCACTCACTGTTGAGTGCTTAGCTCCCTCACAAGCCTCTTGCAACCAGTATCAAATTCTTAGAAACCCATCTTCTGACCTCTTTCTTTTGGAATATTTATTAGTGTACAGCAGCTGAAGAGTTACTCCAAGAGTTAGGAGTAGCTGCAGCAGTAAATAATTATTACTAGTGTGCAGTCTTACTGTTTTTAAAGCACCAGAGTAACTAGCTGTTTTCATTCTTGTTTGATTGCAATAATATTCAAGTATAAACATCACTTAGTGAACTTTTCAAGAAGTAAGGGCCGTGCTGCTGTTATGTAGGGCAGTTCCATATCCGTGGTGATATTCTTCCTGCACTAACATAATTAAATTTAAAGTAAGAAGGGATTTGGTTTATTTCATCTCTCAAACGAATGTGTGTCAGGAAATATAAGTGAGTGGAAAAAGTCTGTCTGGACAGGCAGCTTGCTGTGGTGTATTGCATTTCACTGACATGAGAGGAATGTGGCAGTGAGGTCTACAGTTCCCCGCTGTAGGCACCAGCACTCAGGCTGAAAAGCAGCTTGGGATGTGCCTTTTGCTTCATTAAGCAAAAGGCTTTATGCCTGTGGCGTGAAGTGCTGTAAAACGTGGTGGAAGTATTACAGTGTGTGTTCTTAGACAGGATTGCCAGTCTCAAATATCTAAAATCAAAAGTCAGATATTCCAACATAAAATCTGTCTCGAAATTAGAGATTTGTTTCTTTTTTGCTTCTTAAGCTTCATTTATTTTTAAGTGAAAGCTGAGATCTTCACCGAAAGGTGAGATCTTCACCTGACTTCAGAGCTTTAACAAAAACAGCAGATTACAAAAAACTTGCAAAAAGGTCATAAAAATCGTTAACAGCAAGTCAGGCATCTTCTGCAGAAGCTGCGTGATTGTATAAGCTTTGTCATTGTAAGTAGGATCTAAAAACCAGAGGTGCAAAATGCAGGCTAAGCTCCTGGCACTTGCAGTATAGTTGAGGTTTGCTTACCTTTAACAAATAACAGTACCTCTCCTGGTTCACATTATGGAGAAGCAGCCAAAAAAAAAAAAAAAAAAAAAACAAAACCAAAAAAACAAACCAGCAGAGTCTAGCAAGCCCGTGTTGTGTGGGGGAGCCACGGCGAGGCAGTTTGCAGACCTTGCAGTTACCTACAGCTGATTTGTGGCTGCTGTGACTTCTGCAGCCTTCCCGGAGTTTCTTCCTGTGCGTATTGGGGTCAGTCAGTCGTAGGACTCCTGTTTACAGGAGCCAGCAGGTGATGCTGAGGGATGCATTCATTTCCTTGTGTTGTCTACATCTTCCAAAGAAATGTCAGCGCTGACGCCTTCCCTGAGATGGAAGTTGTAAGGATAGGGATTATTCTTCCCACTCTGCTGAAGTGGCAGGCTGTAGCTTTAGGGTTTTGAACCTCTGCATTATTAACAAGCAAGGAAGGTGGAGTGTTCCTGTTTCTAGGCTCTTTCACAGTGCTGGAAAAGCAATGCCAGAGCATTTTTAGGATCTTTAGTCATTGTTCCTACCGACCTGCACTACAGTTCCTAAGAAGACAGACTACAAAGCCCACAGTCTGCAAAGACTAAGATCCAAGAATTTGAATAATTGTATAGGATTTTTTAATGTAACACTAAAGTTTGCTGATTTGGAAAGGGGATGTTCCTGTACCCTGGTCTGACATTTGCCAATATGCTTTTGTTCCATCTTCGTATCTTGGACTCAGATGAGATCTTTTTCAGCTATGCAACCCTGGAGGAAACAACAGTTCTTGAAATAACATATCAGCACCATAAACACTTCTCATTTGACATTTTGACATTTGGTGTTGGCAGCTCCGCCTGCCTCTTGAGTGTGCATTTGGCTGTCACCATTCAGCCAGACCCTTTTTCCTGCCCAGCCAGTTCAGATGGAAATCACCTTGGCTCTCAAGAGCGCTCCGAGTGACTGTTTAACATGGCTAAGCCTCAGGGACTCTGTCCTGCAAATATAAACTTGTTCTTAGGTCAACATCTAAAGCATAATTTTCATTGTTTTTAAGAATCCTATTAGTTATAGAGGAATGATAAATAATCCAGTGGTCTGGAACCACATTGTTCTGGCTCAGGGAGCTGTTACCACTACACATGATGCTTTTGGTGTTGGAGGTGTATGAGATGCACTGTTATACTCTAGGATCTAGCAGTTCACCTAAAGGTTCAATGCAGTTGAGCCCAGTGAAGTCTGTAGGATGTATCATTCAGTTCTTAAATACTTCCTCCACCTTTCAGTGGAAACATAGTCAGAAGTCAGTAGAAGTGTTTACTACTGTCATATTGAAAGGTGAAAGAAGATACAGATGTAAAAATGTTGTATGCATTAATTATTTAACCTGCAATCAGGAAAGTATAAAAATAATCCAGGGTGAAAAGTAGGAAGAATTCTAAAGGAAAGCACTGGTTCTTTCAGTTCGAATAATGCAGACCCCATTCAAGCTTTCTGTGCAGAACATGATGCCTAATCCCAGCACAACTAAATACATGTAGGTTTTATTTTCTCTGAAACAGATTTACAAATCATGCAGCTCTTGTGAGGTGGGTGACTAATTGTGCTCACTAAGCTTCTAGTGAATAAACTGTGAGGAGTTATTATTTTCCTAGCTCACTGTACTGTTTTTTACCTTTCAGACTTTTTAGCATCAATCAGGCTCTGCTTCTATTGCCTGAAAAATAAAATATGTAAAGGAAAAACTGCACCAGATTTAAATACATTTTATTGCTACGGTATAAATACCATAACTGTAATTAAACCACTTGAAAATAGGAACCATCGACATTTTCTCTCAGGGATTCAGCCACCTATGGGGATTTTGAGTCTTTGAAAATCTCCCTAGAGTTCCAGTGTGCTTTGCTTCTACTGATTGTTCTTGAAAGAAAATTAGCTTTTAGTCCTTTAGAATCTGTTGGCTTTTTCAGCTACTAAATATACACATAATAAGTGCTGTGGGATCAAAACAAAAGCAAGTTGCTCTTCCTACACTTGTAATTTTGATGGGATTTGCAGTTTGGCAGAAGTCAATAATATGACTCAGTGTGTTTGGGGTCACAGTGGATTAAGGGACATCCCTTCGGCCTGGTTCAAGAACCTGCAAGGTATCTTCAAATCGGAGGAAAGAGTGAATATGAAAGAGACTGGAAAAGGATGAGAGAGAGCACTTGGGAAGCCTGATCCAAAGTCCTAAAGCAGAACTAACGATGCCTGTGTTGCTCCTTCCAGATGTCAGCCTAGCACCTGCCTAAAAGTGTCTCATAACAGAGCTTCTGTCACCTGATGAGGGTTTAGGCAGATTTTTTCCTGTTAGGAATGTTCTTATGATGACTGACTTGCTCCACCAGGTGCCTTTGACTTTGTCTTTAACATGCTGCCTTTGTGGAGAGAGAAGATGATGTCAAATTGAAGACGTGAAAAGGAATGGGGAGGGAAATGCTCAGATGGTGGGAGGAAGGTCATGAAGGACTTGGATGGAAAGTCCCTGGGAGGATTAAGAGGAGAAAAAAGTGTTACCCGTACAAGCTCCTTGTCATCATATTGCTCACTATGATAGCTTGAACTTTTTGACACTTTTTAGAAATGTTTTTGGCTGATACCAAATAAAAGCAAAGTTTCAACTCTAAGCACAACCTCAGTGGTGGGGAAACTTCTGGGTTCCGCCTGCAGAACTAAAAATCTGTAGTACATTAACAGAAAGACATTACCTTTTTCTGTCTTTTGTACCCTCACAGATGAACAGGAGCCAGCGGTCAGCAGTGATTCAGATATTTCATTGATTATGGCAATGGAGGTTGGACTGTCTGATGTGGAGCTTTCCACTGATCAAGACTGCGAAGAGGTGAAATCTTGAAAAACAAACAGAGATCCAACACCAAACTACAGGGGAGGGTCACAGGGAGGGACCGAATCAGCTTTCTAGGATTTGGACCAGTCATGCACATGCCTCCAGAGCACTGTCACTCCTGCACACTCCATTCTGAGATGGTCACGAAAAGCAATAGCAACAGTTGTGTCTGCCTGGATGCGGTTTCATCATCTACATACCCTCGTTTGGTTCACACGGGAGATGAACGCTTCCAGTTTGCCCACGTGCTTGAGAGAGGTCATGGAACTCTTCAGTGGCTCGTAAATACGCAACTGAAATGACAGCTTGAGTGTTTTCTACACACTTGTTCAATTGAGGTTTTGTTGGTTTTGTGTTGTTTTTTTGGTTTTTTTTGAAAGACGTATGTTTTGTTTGTTTGTTTGTTTGTTTATAGTTTGTTATGGATAGGCACTCTGTTTGTGTTGACTGACCCCAAGTTTTTCAAGAGTTCAATCGAGAAATCTGAATTCCCATTTGCAGGTCTCTTCATAATCTGACCAGGATTTTATTGCCTTGTTGTTTCTGCATGAAGTACATGTGGCTTCAGAAGGATGGTGCACCTGCACCCTGCATTAATGTGAAGCCTGCTTTCATGAAGTGGAAGGCTTGGAAATGGTGTGTTCTGAAGGTCTTTATTTGTAAGAGAGCTCTGAATTAAGAGAGATTGCTGAGATTTGGGTTAAAACTTCATTATGTAGTCTTTTACTTGGAACTCTGTTCTAGAGAAGTATTGTACAGCTTGAAGGAGAGAAAGCAAGCTCAGAGCATCACTCCGTCCGTTTAGTCCTGTGCTATATTTTATGCTATTAGCAGCTGTCAGTACATTAGTGGCCTTCCTTCAAGTCAATTCAGTAGCTGGAAAAAAAAGATCTAGTCTAACATCATGTCTTTTCTTAGTTTCACCAAAGTCAAATCATTGAGCTAAAGGAGTGTCTGAGGGGTGTCCCAGAGGCTGCTCATTAACAGCTCTGCATTATGCAGGTGACAGTATTCTTACAAAGGGTCTGGAGATGCTGCTGTCAGTGTCAGAAATTGCTAATGAAGCAAGAGGCAGCTGGCTGAAGTGTTTAACTCCTGGTTTGTTTTGGGTCCTTTTCCTTAGTGCATTTCACAGCAGTTTTTGTCTGCTTGTTTTGCAGCACAAGAGTTCAGGTGATTTGTTGCCCTCCAGAGTCAACACTGTTGGAAGCATAATGGAATACTTGCAATTTATATATAGATAGATATGCCAAAATATATTGGGGAGGGATTTTGGAGAGGGAATTGGTAGATAAAAAGAACGAACATCAATCAAAACACCTAAATATAATAACGCCCTGACCAATCATTTAGTTCATCTTGAGCTCTGCTTTCCAGGTAAAAGCTTATTGTTATTTTTTCAGTGCATGATTTAGTTTTTCAGTCAAAATACTCAGCTGTGAAGAAGCACTTTTGGCTTTCTGTTACACAAGAGTACGTGGTTTCTGCTGAGAGTCAGATGATTTGAACATTTCTGCTTCCTGAGTAAGTCCACAGAATCAACAATTCATCTTACATCAAAATTCCATGGAGGTCAAACATTTTGACTTGATGGTGTCATGGCAGAATCTCAAAATGCAACTCTTGGAACTCTTGCTGTATTTAATCTCGTGGATTTACTTGTTAGATGGGGAAACCAACTTCCAGTGAAAATTTGTGTTTTGTCAGATCTTATTCAGGAACAAATGTGTTTAGAACTATCGCTAAAATTTTGGCTGACTTGCTTCTTTAGTACAGGAAGAAGGAAAAATTATTCTCCATCCTTTTTTGTCCATTTAGAACTCAGTTCATTTTATAGTTTAATTTTGTTTTACATTCCTAGTCCCTAAACTGGAGGATAATCTTGAGGCAAAGGCTTTAAACTGAAAGAGGGCAGGTTTAGTTTAGCTGTTAGGAATAAATTATTACTGTGAGGGTGGTGAGGCACTGGAACAGGTTGCTGAGAGAAGCTATGGATGCCCCATGCTTGGAAGTGTGCAAGATTGGATGGAGTTTTGAGTAGCCTGGTCTGGCAGGGGAATTAGAACGAGATGGTTTTTAAAGTCCCTCCCAAGCCAAACTATTCTGTGATTCAATAAAAAAGATGCAGAAATGTGCTGTTACATCTTTAGAAGCCATGTGACTGAAAATCTCTTTTCAACTGAAGACATACAGGCAGCTGGAAACCTTCTTGGTTAAAAAAGGAAGTTAGAGATCATTCCAGAAGGTGCAGCTAGGTCAGTCTTGACAATATTTGTGGTTCTGTAATCTTATTTTCTTTATTCTTTAATGTCTTTTCTATTCCTTGCTGCGGTAGAAAAGACCTGACACATCAATGCTGAAATTGACCCCTACACAAGAGAGTTTGCACAAGGTACTGCATCAGCTCCACTTAAAGCTCTGCAAATAATGCTGAAATGGGATTTAAGTGGTGCTTACACCAAATACTGACACAGAAACGAAATTCATCTCAAATGACTGCAGGGGAAGGAGTGAAGCTGCTTATACACAGTCAGGGCTCCCTATAGAAAGTACAAGCATTGGTACAATTTCTTCTCCAGTGCTGGAGCCTGGGTGCTACATGTCACAGGAACATCACGAACACGATGTCCGAGTTGTCAGTAATCCTTTCACATACACCCACTGTAGCTCAGCACACAGACTAAAAGCTCCTGGCCAAACTGTTTGGGTTTCACAGGAGCTATTGCAAAGTCTTCATTTTTATTTCATAAACAGAGTTAAGTTAATCTCAATGGATAGACTGACCAATTAGCTGTTGCCATAGCACAGCCACCCACAGCACAGCAGAGGAAAAAAGAGCTCTGTGGAAAAGCAAGGCAGGAGGTGAAACTCCCAGCTGATAGCAGGCTGTGTCCTTTGTCCAGCAAAATCATTAAAGGGAGCTGTGCTCAAAGAGGCATCACAGAGATGGTAACTGAGACCCTGCCCATATTTCTGGAAGTTAATGAAAGATTTTCTAGAGGGTTAACGCTCTGCACGCTCTTTTCCTAAGTATCCCATCCTAGATCTGGTCTCTCAGCATCCATGGGTGGCCACTGGCAGAGGCAGGGTATCAGGATGGGTGAGATGTTTTGACATATTACCATATGCTTTGGTCTTTCAGAAGAGACATCCCAACAAATCTGGGTCAGGAGTCTTTCTGCTTTTGTTTTCCAAGTTCTGCCTGCAGTTTTGCTCAGGGAAGATGTCTTTCCATCCCTGTCCTCAAGTGTCCTGCAGCTCTGAGCATTGTTGAGTCATAATGAGTGCAAAGTCAGGTTACACATCACTGAAGCCTGAACTTAGGAAAGCACTTAAATAAATGTTCTATTCCGTCCTTCTTTAAAAAAGCACTTACAACTAATTTTGAACCTGTACCAAAATCACATTGTTTTCAGTAGGTCTTCTATGAGCGTAATCAAGCCCCTGTGTCAAATGGAAACATTCTCCTAAAGCAGGACCTGGCTGACAATATTCTTTGTACCTATGAACTGTGAACTGCCTTGGGAACTCAAGGTGCTTTATAAATATTAAAACCTCCCCTGATGTATGTTTGTAACGTGTGTGAAGGCCTTAATTCTGCATAGCTGCATGGCCATGCACATTTTTGCTTACGTGAGTGTCTCCACTGAGATTCCTCACAGGGTAAAATTAAACCCCCAGATTTGCAGCTTTGAACATGGTTAGTCCCATCGTGAGCATTGTGTGAGTCCTCGGTACTGCTGCCTGCTAAGCTTGGGCTTTAAATACATGGGATTCAGATGCCTGGGACACAGCACTGGCTGGTCAGAAGGGAAAGCAGCCTTTAGCAGGCTGCCAGGAAAAAACAAAATCCTCTGGTGCCCTCTGACAGCAAGTGGATATAATTCTGCGGGGCTGACGCTATGAGTAGGGGGTGGGGGGTCACCTACTGCACAGGGCCAGTGGGCAAGGGACCGTGTGGCTCTCAGGGAAAGGCATTCTTGTCATTAAACTGATCCTGTGTCTCTCCCAGAAATTCCTATCCTGTCATCTGAGGCTCTTTTCTTTTCCATGAGCAAGTGGTAGGTGGGAGAAGACTTTGCCTTAGTGAGGCTCATCATCCCTCAGGCTGTGTTGCAGGATGAAACTCGGTCAGACAGAGACTGGCTTAAAGTATTCTTGGATTTTCTTGGGTTGCACTAAGCTGCCTTCCCAAAGGTCTATTCAATAGGTAGGATTCATAAAACATTATGTGGGCAGAATTTTGCAATCACAAATGACCTAATGTGTGCATGCAAATGTGGAAGGCACCGGGTCTACGTCCCCTCCCCACAGCTGACCAGTTCTGATGGGGATACAGATCTGGCACTTGCTGAGGGTTTGGGATTCTTTTATTTTCTGACTGCTTTAGAGCCTGAAAACTGAGATCAGGACAATCATAGGACTGCAGTTCATTCTTTAAGCACTCTATAGAATTGCCATGTATGCATATAAAAGTGCACTGATATGGGTATGGAAGCTGTCGTGTAGTGAAAACAGAAGCAGCTGTCATTTTTAGACCTTTTATTTGAGGGAGATTGTAGCACTTAAGAAAAGGGGTTTATAGAGGCAATTTGGAAAAATAAATTATTGAACTCACATGTGATAAGTGGTCCCTTAGATCTCACTAATGACCTCTGGATCAAATCCCGAGGAAGTCATTGCAAGAAGGGCATTGCTGTTACGGTGCATCCATTCCGTGTGACTAAAATGGCAGAGAAATCCAGCCAGTTCCTTCCCAGCCCCTCTCACAAGTGTTTGCCCCTGCATGAGCCTTTGTTGCAGGGGAAGGAGAACGTGGGATCAAACTGGCACGGTGCTGCTTCCTCTCTTTGTGTTTTGTGCTGCCGGAATCTCTTGCAGCAGATCAGAGGAGGGAAAGGAGCCGGCCCAAGTTCAGCTCCAGGGCTTAAGAAAAGGCAGGCCATGGGCTTTCAGCACGTTCAGGGCAGCCAAGCTTCTTCATGGCCTGTGCTGACCGGGAGCACGGCTTTGTTGAGGAACACTGAGCCCATATGGACTCATTTGTTTTATAGATGCAAAATGTGAGAGTGTGTGTGCGTGACAACAATGAATCAGCTTGGTTTAGCACAAGCGGCAAAACACATTGTCACGAAATATCTTAGGGGTGAGGGAAAATGAGGTTGGAGGTGTTGTTTTCACAGACTTTTTAAATAGGGACAATTGATCCAAAACAAGCACTTCTTTTAATTTTCCCAAGCTGTTACCTGAACTAATTGATAGTTTCGCAGAAAGAGGAATGCCAGATGGACTTTTTAGTTGGGATTTGTTTGTGTAGCAGATGGCAGCTGCAGGCTGGGGCAGCGAGGGAGGGCGAGGGCAAAGGCTGCCCCTCTGCCGCTTCACTCCCCCCCGCTGGGCTGGACACCCGCTTGGTCCCTTTATCTTTCCATTTCTTTTTCAAGGAAAAAAACCTTCTGAGCAGGCGCTCTATTTCAAAGGGAGAAATTGAGAAGAAAGATGAATGAAAGATGTTGTGGATTTTGAATGAAAAGCCAACGGATTAATTTTCCATCTGAAATTAATCTTGTCTCTCTCAAGTATTTTAATTGTGAATTGGTGGAAGACATTTCTTTTTGTAGGGAATGGAAAAGAAGTAAGGACAGGGGGAAAAAAAAGGAGGAACAGCATTTTCAGCATTTTCCCTTTCTTGTTTATTTCTTGATT